AGCACCCAAAGATGAATTAATATTTACTGTGGAATAGTTTCCTCTGGCCCCATACATGCTACAGTTTATCCCCTATTAGGAAACTGTTTTACAGTGTTTCTGCTAACACAGCTATGCCAGCCAGGGCAGACTGGGCATAACTTTGTTTAAATACACTTTAAAAACGATACGAGAGCGAGTAAATGCTCAGAGCTGAAACCTGCTTAGTACTTAGCATTGTTTCTTTTGGTTCAAATCTCTTCAAGATATGAAAAGACTGTGGTGGTTATAAATCATGTTTTATGTAACTCATTTCCTTGCTTAAATGACCAATTCAGATTCTGTTATTAAAACAAAAATGATTTAAGAAATCTAAGTGCTTTTGCACTGTAATGAGGCTTATTGTCTCTGTTGCAGCGTAGGCAGTGAAAATGGACTGGCTAGGTTTGGTCTCTGGCTTGCCTGCGCTAGCGCGGTGTCGAGCACTAGTCCCACATTCTGTGAGAGGTGGGAACGGTTGGTGTTGAGTATGCTGCAATGAAATCTGTAGGTCTGAATGCAAGAAAGGAATAAGAAAAAATAATCAAGGAAGTGGTTTTTGGTTGCTCTTGAATTTTATGAAACATCTTTGTTCTTCACGGAAGGTGCGTTTGAGTTTGAGGTCTGCCTGAGTGATTCTTTCAATACATACTCTCTTTGTCTGTTCGCAATCTCAGCTGAGGGGACAGAAGGGGACATGTTGGAACGTAGGAATGGGGAGTGGAAAAGCTACCGAGCAAAGACCCTGTCTGCTCTGCCTGAGTGGGAGTGAGGGTCGCCAGCATGGCCGCAGGGGGCTGTGGGTCGGGGGCGAGGGGCGCTGGCACGGCTGGGGGGCTGTGGGTCAGCACTGCCCATCAAAGTTTACAAATGGGTCCTGGTACAAAGGCGGTTGAGAACCGCTGCTCTAGACTCGCGTGGTTGGGTTGTGATGTACATGCTGAATTGGAAAAGCAACCCCTTGCTATAAAACCTAATCGCTGCACGTGGGACTCTACCAGTGAATATTTAACAGGCGAGGTTTCCTTCTCCTGAATTTCTTACCTAATTAGCAGTGACTCAGTCTTAACTTTGGTCCATGCTGTAATAAATCATCTGGATGGTCTTAGCCACTCAAGTATGTAGCATGCTGAACTTCTCACTGTTTTCCTTTTTTTTTCTCACATGACTCGCAGGTTGCCCTTGAAATCTAAGGTTTGAATTCAAAGGTTGTTTTGACTGCTTGAAGTTCAGAGTCGGTGTGTATGTGCTGTTCAGCACATTTTCTCACGTGTGTAACTATGCTGGCGTTCCCCGTCAATGCAATACAGGCATTTGACCGTATTCAGGCATGTGAAATAAAGCTGTGGACTGTCACCCTTGTTATGAACTTGGAACCATCATTCCCATTCCTATTTCCTCATTCTGTCGTGCCAGGAGATCTGCTGCACACCAATACTGTGTGTTAGAGACTGATCGTGTCCATCTCCACCACGTTCAGTCTTCTCTCTCAAGGAGGAGTGAAGACAACAAACCGAAGACTGTGAGAAGGGAAGGCAGGATGATCTGAAGTAGGGAATAAAGACCGAGAGGAGAGTCGTGGTACGAGTGTGACTGCAGAGTAGCACCCGTACCAGGAATAGGCAGGAAAAGATGTGTATGTGAATTGGGGACTCATTGCTAAGAAGGATTGACAGCAGAGTGGATCTAGAAAATAGTGTGGTGCGGAGTCTTCCAAGAGCAGGGATATGAGATTTGGATGTGAGCCTGCAAAGCAGCAGGGACGAATCTGTTGTTCCTTCTCCTTGTTGGGACAGAAGACAGGATGGCATCCCAAGGCGAAGGATGACTGTTGGAAGGGGAAAGATGCTCAAAGAATTGGAGGGTTGGGTGCTCTTCAGCAGATTTCTTCTGGTCCCATTAGAAAGTACTGAAGGGCAACAGATAGCAAGAGCTGGCACAAAAGGAAGCCATGGGGATGGTCAGCAACTGGGATGTATTTACTTAGGAATTTAAGAGGTGGGACTCTATCTAAGTACTGAGGGAAATAGCCTTTGGATGGAGCCTGGCATAGCTGACAAGGGAAGCTTTCAGTTGGCAAATGAGGAGGAGACGATTGGGAGTAACATGTAATCTTCATGCCTAATTTTAATGCAGTAGGGTAGGGTGATACAGCAATGGATAAAGAGCTATTATGGGACAGAAGGCTGGGCAGTAAAAAGAAGGGGCCAAGACAGGTGATGCGGTAGACAGATTAAGCACAGTCCTTCCACTAACTGTACTGGCGGGTGAGTTGAATGGGTTGTCAGGTAAGCAGCAACTGAAATGATTGCATGCTAAAGCTGCTGATACAGGGTACAAAACTGAGCATTACAGAGCTAACAAAGATGGTGGGGTAGCTATCATGCCTGGAGCACGGGTATCATGTCTGGAGTACTGTACAGGATAAGAGCTAGTCAAGACAAATAGAAATAAAAGCAGAGCTGGTGAGACCGGTTTGTGCATGAGGCTTGCGATAGCAAAAGTAAGAAGGGATGACTTGGAAAAACCAACTCGGCTTGTGTTGGAAAAATGTTGAGTCTGGATGGTGAAAGAGTAAATGCTGGGGAAGTGCTGGGACTTGGCTGTCAATACGCACTCCCTTCCCAGCTCTGGTTGTATGTGGTTGGAGATTTCTGTAAGGTCCCTAGGGAGATGGGTGCTGAGAGAGGTCTTTTATCAGGGGATTGTTGGTCCAGCAACCAATGGTGCTAGTTCACACTTGGTTTTGTTGAGTCATGGAGACATCCAGGGTTATAGTAAGTAACTCTGAATTGAAGGTTCATGAGTTTTAAATGAGTTTTCTCGCATCTAATTTTTGTGGTGACACAGACTTGCATGTTTTATATTCTCGTGTCTTGCAGGTAATTTGCTGATATGGACACTTAGCAAAAGCCTCCTAGACTTTTCTACAAAAAGAAATGTGATTCAGCAGGGATTTTAACTGCTGTATAGCCGTCACTATAGATACAAGTTAGAAAGTCAGATAATTTCACAGGCTTCAGAGTCTTATTTGAAGCAAGTGAGAAGACTCTCCTTGGCTGCAGCGAGCTTTGGATCAGCCCTTCCAGGACTGTCGTCACTGGAAAGAAAGTGTAAGATAAAGACAGTGGAGAAGCTGAGGGTTGAACTTGACCTGCTAACTTAGATGTGTACTTCAAATCTGACTTGTCTTCACTACGGTTTTACCTTGTGTTACCTCTCCCTGATTTAAAGAGCATATCCTAAGCAGCATTGTTTTATGGCTCAGTATAGTTGAGCTGAGATTCATGATTTTCTGCCCAGAACGTGGTCACGCCCCATCAAAGTCGGTGGGAGTTAAGCACATTCTTACAGTTGAACATGTACTTCCTTGAACTAAGGCCTTTAAAGAGAAGCCTTGAGAACAGTGATGACAAGAATTTGTTCTTTTTGTACTTGCATTAGTCATTCACGTGAAATTTTCTGGTTTTTTTTTATCTAATGACATTTCGGTTGTGTGAGGACGCATAAGGTTCTATTGACACGATTAACAAAATAAATGGTTCTATCACACCGTGTTTGACCCTGCGGTATTTAATCTTGTGTGCTCATACTGACATTATTCTTTTAAATGATTGTGGAATGGTACCGTCTTCCTGTGCTGGCTAAATTAAAAAAAAAAAAAAAAATCTACTTCGTTCTGTCAACTGATCTTTGTTGCCTTTTAATAAAGATGAGCTACAAAGCAATCCCACACTAAGTTGTTTGGGTTTCTTTTCCCAGATTGCTCTGCTGTAGTTACCCACGCTATGCAACTGGCTGTACATCTGTGAGACAGGTTTTTTGGTATCTTTTAAAAAGATTTATCTGCCTTTTTTAGGTGTTAAATTTGTTATTGATAAAGGACTGGATTCCAATACTGCTACACGTACTGAACCATGAATACCTGGGCATGTCTACATGTCACCCTCCATTGCTGTACAGTGTGCTACAGCGACACAGCAAAAACATGCGTCTGCGTGTGATCGCCAGCTATGTCGCTGTAGCGGTATGCCGCCCAGGTATAGCTTGCCACTGTGGTGATGTAGCGACGAAATCTAACTGTGCATTGTACATGTGGCGCAGTAACTGCCTGTACTGTGCTGTGCTGTAGTACTACTTTTGGAGGTACTAAAGCACGGTGCCGTAGCACCTTTGCTGTATGGCGATATGTAGACGCCATCCCCTGGGTACCTTCCTGGGCCCATACGCATCAGTGGTGCTGCTATTGCAATCAGCTGCTATGCCGTATGGGCACAGGTAATGGAATCTGATATGCAACCATGTCTATTTTAGCCAAGAATTAAGAGGAGTACAGAGGTATAGCTGATGTGCATAAGCTGCATTTCCACAAATACCTCGTGCACAATCTTTGGCCCAAATTTTTCAACTATGCACTTGTATGTGGGCAGTATTTAAACAGTTTCTCATCAAGACATGAACACATGCAGTCATGAACAGGCACCTCTTTTCTATCTGTATCCTTTTCCTTCCTTGTCACCTCTGGCCAGGGGATTGAAAAAGTCCTTTCCCCACTCGCACATTTTTTTTTCTTTTTTTAACATGATCAAATAAAATCCTTCCAAATCTTTTCCAAGTATCTGACCAGTAGATGATAAGTTGTTCTGAGCTGTGGCCCTCTTTATTTATCTTTTTTTTTTCTATGGTACTTGCTGCAAGTGAAGGATCTTAAACAGTTGACTCTTGAAAGGGGATTTGTGAATTGGTAAGCATTGTAAAGCGGGTGTGCAAATATGTGGAATAGGCAGCTTTTGTTTTAAAAAGTACTCTTTAGTTTCTTGGTAACATGCAGATGCAAATTGAAAGGTACCAAATTGTGCGGGTGTAAGTCTCTTAGTCTGGAATGTGTAGGAAGTTCAGTGTGAAGAGTTGCTGCTTTTCCCTTCCCTCTCTGCCCATCTCCCATGTAACAGTCTCTTTGTTTCTGCTCTTTTTCAAGGACTGGGATCCGATTCCTTGACTGGTCTAGCAAAAGCCATGGGGAGCCATGTATTCTAGCCCACCCAGCATTCAAGGATTTCCAGGATCACTGGATTTACAGAAGCACCATAACCTCTGCTGAAGATCAGCTATGGATGGACCATCTTGGAAAACCAGATGTAGCTCCTTTTTTTTTTCTTCTTCTTTTGCTGCCAAAGTGGATGGGGTGTCTCCATTCTCTGAGGATTATATGTCGTTGGAAATTTTGTCATTTTTACTGGAATACCTTCTGTTACGTTTCACAGGGAGGAGAAACCGTTGTTGTATTCGGGAGATATTTTCCAGGCCCCCTTACTTACACATCTTCAAGCACAGGATCACTCTGTGGCAGGTAAGTGTGTGGCTTCCTAGTTCACTGGCCAGTTGCATTTCCTGATGGTTGGACTCTTAACAATTTGCTTCTCGCCCTGATCTGCTATGGGTTCAGCCTGTCCAACTGTTTGGCCTTTGTTTGAGGGTTATCTTTTCTTATTCAAGGAGAGAGCAAATATCCTGAAATGCAGATTTGTTTGAGGTTGTCTTTTTCACTTTTTTTACAGAGTTAATTACAGTAGTAATCTTGCATTTACAGAAGGTGCCTTGTATCCTAAAGGAATCCAATGTTTTGCAAGCTGCTGGTGCCATTAAAGAAGTGCAGCCACCTTTTTTTCTTCTGGGGGTTGTGGGAGGGGGAACGTAGTAGTGCGCAGCACTGCTAAAAGTAGCTTACTGCAGGGAGCCATGATCGATGCCATCTCGAGACTACCAGTGGCTTTTGTCTCCCAGTCAACTCAAAGGCCCAGTCAAAAGATTTAATGGGTACAGAACACCTGCAAGCTCATTTGACACCTGGAGTTTGAGGCTGTAGGGTTTCCGTGGAGTTTTAAATATCCCTGTGGTTTTCTGTAGAACTTAATTTTATTTTTACAATAAAAATATTAGCATTTTGTTCTGCTTGCAAGAATATGCTCTTGTAAAGTCACTATACACGCAGGCAGACTCAAAAGGGGAGCTCTAAGAAGCATGGCCTGCCTTCATTCACCTCCATGGAGTGCTTGGTGACATTTGTGCTAAGGAGATGCAACAAATCCAGTGTCTTCCCCTCCTCCCCACACAGGTGGCTTCTACTGTAATTGCCGTGTTCCTGAACCCCCCTGTAATCATAGTCAGTATAAGTCTAGAAATGGGCGAGCCTCAAAAGGTATCAAGGTAAGTAATGGAGATATTGACTCAAGCGTGTACGCAGCGTTGTTTTCAACATGTTTCTATTCATGTGTGCATATGCAAATTATTTTATATGGTATAATTGTACGTGGGGATTACAGTAGGGTGCGTGCATACATAGTTTTGGGGATGTTGGTGGTAGCTGTGTTGGTCTAAGGCGGGGCGGGCAATTATTTTGGGTGGG